GCAGGCTTCAGCCTCCCCACTTCCCAGTTCTAATACAAGCTGGGACATGACCTCTTCCCCACCACTGGGCTCCCGGATGTGCAGGTTGGCCCTCAGAAGGCTCCAACCTCGCCCTCACAGCCTGCCCTCCCCTTGGGGCGCAGTGGCCAGTGAGGAGGACCACCCCCCTCAATGTCCGGCCTTGTTATCCCATCAGAATGGGACAGATGGCGTGGTGAGAGCAGGGCCAAAACCAGGATGTCTGATGTCTGCTTTGGTGCCCTTTCTGTCCATCAGAGGGGACAAGGCAGCTGCCGGTCTTCCAGGACCTAATGCTCTGTTGTCAGCTGTCCCTGTGCCCCCAGGCCCTGCAGCAATGAGGCCACCTCACCTGTGCATTTGGAAGGTCTCATGGCCCCACATCTGGGGGGTGGTGAGCAATGGGAAATGGGGGGTGAGGTGGGGAGGGAAGAAGAGACCACAGTGACAGAAGAGTTCTAGATCAGATGTGCTGTTGAGATTGGTCTCCATCCAGCTCTGCTCTGGACTGCTGTGTGACCCACTGACATGGAGCAACTTCTCTGGACACCCCTGAGAGTTCAGCTTCATAAGATTCATAATCACATGTTTCCAGGAGCAGGCAGGAAACTGTCACCCCAGAGTAAGCTCCTTGGTGCTGGCTGGGGGGAAGCTGGGTGGGCAGAGGTGCCCCATGGTTGGCTGCTGGGGTCCCTTGGGTTGCTGATGTGTTTCTGAGTGTCTCTCTTAGCAAGCCACCCACTGTGGTGGCTCATAAGAACTAACAGCCTCCTTCTTTCCATACTGATGAGGCCTCGTCCCGCCTTGTAAATATTTGATTAGATTTTTGAAAAATGGAGTCCGTGTTTGGAAGCCAGCACCAGAAACACACTCTTCTGTTTCCCATCACTGGCAGGGCTGGGGCTCCCTGGAGGACCCTGAGTGACTTCCAGGCTCCATGGCCTTCCTGTGGCACCCCGCCCTGCTCACCCCATCTGCCCTGGTCAGATGGCAAGGCTCTGGGTCACCTCTCTGTCACTAGGCTTCAGAAATTCCAGAGTCCAGCCAGGTAAATTGCAGCTAGCACAGCCCAGGGGCCCTTAGAGTGGGGCTTTTGGTGCCCACCAGAGCCAGGGCAGGAAAAGGCTCGGGATCTATGGATGTGGTCTGTTTAATAGTCATAGCCTCAACTGAAGTGTCCCTTCCCACTCTGGTGTTCTCCACTCCTTCCTCCTTGCTAAAAAATGCTGTTGCCAGCATCAAAATGCAGCTGGAAAAGCCCTGGCAGACCTGGTGGGACTCGGGAGGGCCCACGGTGGTGCTGGTGTTGATAGGGATGGGGAGGCGGTGGTGATGAGAGTGATGATAATGGTGGTTGTAGTGAGGGGATTGATGTGGTGGTGGTAATGGTCCTGGTGGTGGTGGTGGTGAGGGTGGAGGTGACAGAGGTGGCGGAGGTGATGGTGGGGGGGATGGGATGTGATGGCAGTGGCAATGAACCAGCACTTTTTTAAGCACTTTCCATGGATCCACCGAGTCGATCCTCTCCGTGCCCCGCTGAGGCAGACCACCATCCCCGTGAGGCGGGGCTCAGAGCTCCTGAGGATTCAGGTGGCTTCACCAAGTGCTCTTAGAGCGCCTCCCGGACCAGGGTCACAGGCAGGAGGCCGGCCATTTTAACCCAGGTCTGTCTGACTCAGTGGTTCCCTTGGCATTGGGTGTAAAGTGTGTTTGTATGTGCATGTGTGTGTGTGTTTGTGTCTACATGTGTAGATGTATGTGTATTTGTATGTGCTTATGTGTACATGCATGTGTATCCATGTACATGTGTGTTTGTATACATGTATTTGTGTCTGTGTAGCATGTACACATGTGAATGTGTATGTGTGTACGTGTACATGTATTTGTGTCTCTGTGTAGGCGTGTGCACGTGTGAATGTGTTTATATGTGTACATGTATTCGTGTCTGTAGGCATGTACACATGTATGTGTTTGTATGTGACATGTATTTGTGTATGTACAGGCATGTACATGTGTGTGCCTGTGTTTCTATGTGCACACGTACTTGTGTCTATGTGTAGGTATGTACATGTGTGCGTGTGTGTACATGTACACATACTTGTGTCTATATGTAGTGTACATGTGTGCATGTGTGTGTCTGTGTTCATGTATTTGTGTCTCTGTGTAGGTGTGTGCCTGTGTGTGTGTATGTGTACACGTGTGCATGTGCTGCATCTTTCTGCAGAACCCTCAGCCTTTTGCAGATGGACAGGGCAGACCTGGTGGGAATGTCTGAGGGAGGAGCCCCCTCCCACCCCGCCCCGGGGACCGCCCCCTGCCCAGTGCTGCTCTCTCAGTGGCCATTCCCCAGCCTGGCTGCCTGGTCACCTCACTTGGTGGAGACTTCCTGTGGGTGGGGATCCTGTGTGGCATGGGTCTGGTAGCCCCTCGTGCTGCCACCACCAGCTGGCTCTCCTCCCACAGTGGAGGGACCAGGGACAGCCCCTTCCCTAGCTCTACCTGTCCACAGACTCTGGAGCCCACGGGTCCACAGCTGCTTCCAAAGATCAAGTGCTTGTGTGCAGGGACATGGGGGGATGGCGGCTGGTCTGTCTGTCTGTCTGTCTGCTTTGAGTAAGTTCTTCTCTGGCCCTGGGGGCCTGTGGAACGTGGGAATTGGTTTCAGCTTGGGGATGTTGGTAAAACCCTGAGCCCATTAACAGGTGGTTCACTGTCCAGGCTCTGTCACCGCCACGCACATGACATTTGTTTGCTCCTCCTGTACTAGTGTCTAAAACAGTAAAAGGACCTTTGACTCAGAGTCCCTCAGGCTGGTCACCTATCCTCTTCCACAAGCCCAGGACCCAGGAGGTGGCACTACAGACTTGAAGACTGGGTAGGGAGCTTCATGTGTGAATCTGAAGATGACGTCTCCACTGGCTCCCTGTGTCACCCTGGGTCCTCCTGCCCCTTGCTGAGTCTCAGTCTTCTCACCCACAACCTGCCTGGGTGGGACTAAGGCAAGTTTCCCCCATGGGGTTCCAAGAAGATGCACTGGGTGACATCTAACAGGATAGCACCATCTCTTAACAGCCAAGGGTGTCGGCCACCCCACAGAATGGCAGTGGGCCAGGGCAGGGATTTAGGTGGCAGCTTTGGGTATGAGATGGGCTGTGAGGGCAAAGCTCAGCCCCTCTCCGACCCGCAGTGTGTGCTGGCCAGGGAGTGACAGTGAGGTGCCGCCTGGGAGTCTGCATGTAGGGGCCCAAATTCACGTGCCTCTCACCTCTCTGAGCCTCAGCTTCCTCATCTGTACAATGGGAATAGTCCGGATCGTTCATCACGGGTCCTGTAACAGTTAGGTGAGCCATCCCTGTGGTGGACTTAGATGGGGCCTGGCACCAGGGAGGTGCACAGAACATATGGGTAACTCTTTGTACCCCAATCCTTGGCACTCAGTTTCCTCATCTACAAAGCAGAAAGAAGGAAGCCAGTTTCGCTGCAGGGCAGAGGTCCTGGGTGACGGGAGGGGAATGGGTGGTGGCGATGGCTATATCGTTGGAATGTACAAATATACAACAGAAATGTACTCAGGGCAGGAAAGGTGCCAGCAGGGCCAGTTCCTTGTGGGAGGCCTTGCCCCCAGCTCCTGATGGTTGCTGGCCATCCTTGGTGCTTGTAGGAGCATCACTCCAGTCTACCTCCATTGTCACACAGTGCTCCTCCCTCTGCCTGTGTCTTGTTTCCCTGTGGCTCTCTTTTATAAGGACACCAGTCATTGGGTTTGGGGCTCTCTCTAATCCAGTATGACCTCATTTTCATTTGATTGCTTCTGCAAAGACCCTATTTCTAGGTCACTTCCATAAGTCCCAGGGGTTAGCAACATATCTTTTCAAGGACACAGTTTGACCCACAACAGTGATGGCGGAGATGGTTTTGTTGTCTGTCCAGCTGCTGTGTCAACAAATACATAAATTGGGCAGCTTATAGACAACAGAATTTATTTCTCATGGTCCTGGAGTCTGGACATCCGAGGTCAAGTCTCCTGCGGATTCTGTGTCTGGTGAGGGCTGCTTCGGGCACTGTCTCGCTTCCTCACATGGTGGAAGGGCTGAGGTCTCTCTTGGGGCTCTGTTACAGGGGCACTAGTCCAGTTCATGAGGACCCTGTCCTCAGGACCTAATTACCTTCCAATGCCCACCTCCTGATAAAACATTTTGGGGGTTAGGATTTCAACATAGGAATTTTGGCGGTGTTCAGATCATAGCGATGGTGATGGTGGCAGTGATGGTGGTGATAGCAACAGTAGTGGTGATGGTGGTGATAATGGCGATGGTGGTGGTGGTAACAGTGTTGGTGAGGGTAGTAGTGCTGGTGGTGTGATGGTGTTGGTGATGCTGGTAGCAATAGAGGTGATGGTGATGGTACTGATGTGTTGGTTCTGGGGTGCTGTTGCTGGTGCTCGTGGTGATAGTGGTTATGGTGTTGGTGGTGTGGTGGTGGCAGTGGTGGTGGCGGTGGTGATGGTGATTGTGGTGCTGGTGTTGTTGGTATTGGTCATGGTTCTGGTGGTGGTGGTGGTGGTGATGATGGTGGTGGTGGTGATGGTGATGGTGGTGGTGATGATAGTGGTGGTGTTTGTGGTAAGAATGCTGATGGTGCTGGTGCTGGTGTTGGTGGTGATGGTGATGGTGGTGGTGATGGTGGTGGTGTTGGTGGTATTGATGGTGCTGGTGGTGGTGGACTGCCTGACTGGGAGCTGCTGGTGGAGCTGGGTATGAACACCTTCTTTCTGGGATCTGCCCTCTCTTGCTTTGGGCTCCACCAGCCCTCAGCTGGTCAATATGCTAACAGAAGTCCTGGCAAATCCTCACCTTCATCTCAATTGACTTTCTGGGCACCAAGGTGGTCTTGATGACTGTTGCTCTGTGGGCTGCTCCCCTCTCCTGTGACCGCCTCACACTCCCCTGGCTCTCTCTGAAGCACCCATCTTCTCTTTCTAGGCAGCCCTGGTTTTATGGATGGGGCTTTAACCTTCCCCGAGGCCAAGCCCTGTTGGAGAAATGGAATCTCATTCCTGAAGGCGTTGACATCCTGATAACCCATGGACCGCCATTGGGTAGGAACTGCTAGCCCAAACCCCTGCTAGCCTGCCTGGGATGGGTGGGGGCTTTGGGGAGAAAGGGGCTGGCTGGGCTGTGCACTGAGGTCACCTGGCTTGTCAGAGGGACTCTGAATGGGATGTTCTGAGAGCAGTTGCTGGGTCTTCACTGGGGATAAGGTGCCCCATTGTTCCTTTACTTCCTGAGCACCTGCTGTGTGGACAGTCCCGGATTGCTCACCACAGCACAGCAAGCTTGGCGTCACCTGCCTGTCTCACATGGGGCAAGGTGGACTCAGGCCCTTGGCTCTCCAGACCAAGTCCTGGGTTCTGAACACCCCAGGGCCCACCATGGGCTCCATTCAGGCAGCACTCACCTGTCAGATGCTTGCGGGTCAGTTCCCTGACCCCAACCCATCCGTTGCCCCTGGGGCTGTGGATCCACCTGTCAGCATCTCTCCTCTCTGCCCCACCCCACCACTCCAGTCCAAGCTGAGGCCCTAACTCACTGCTACCACCTCTGGACCTAGTGGCTTCCCACCTGGGACCCCACATCCTGTCCACTAGCCATTCCTTCCTCGCCAACCCTAACCTGTCTCTCAGCTCCTTCCTCTTCCTCTGTTGCTGTTGCCCCTTCCTTGGTCCAGTCCAGTGTCTTTTCTCTCTCTTTTGACCACTGTGGTCTCCTCACTGGACCTGCATCTCTGAGTCTTGCCCCATCTAGTGCACTCTCCTCATACGAATAGGAGTCAGTTCAATGCATGAGCTCTTATGAGGTCATCCCTTTATAACCCTCTGTGGCTCCCTCAGTCTTTAGAACAAAGATCAAACTCCTGGCATTCTGGTTCAGACCAACCACTTGCTTCCACAGCTGCCTCTACTGAACCTGCCATCACTGCCTCTGTGCTTGGGGCTGCCCCTGTGCTGGGTGATGTGGTTCAGGGATTAGCACCATGCACTGCTTTCCTGGAGGGAATAGAATGTTCAGGAATGGCCAAACCCAGAGGGACATGTTCAGGGCTGAGGAAAGCTTGTGGGGGCAGAGTGAACATTTATGTTGTCTGGGGAGGCCCAGAGGCTTCCAGAAGAGGGGACATCAGAGTTGCATCTGGGTCTGGGGGAGGCAGCGGGGCAGAGGGCAGGGCATCAGAGGGAAGTTCTTCCCTAGGTTGAGGCCTATCCCAGCCCGAGTCCACAGCTCACACGCCTCTTTAGGTAGGTGCTCTCACCACCCCATGCTCCTACCCAGCCTGTACCCTGGGTGCCCACCTTCCTTACCAGTGGCCCAAAGAGGGTCTTTACCTCATTACCAATGGAGGAAGCCCTCAGGCCTGGGATTCTGCCAGGGTCCAGGCAGCACAGCAAGACTGTGAACAGGCTGAGTCCTCCCACCCAGGGCCTCCTGACCACTGTGCTTATAGTGTGGCTTTGTGGCAAAGGGGTTCTGTTCCCTCCCTTCTCTTTCCCGCCTTTTCTTCATCCTTCCTCTCTTCCTTCCTTAGCTCCTTCATTCTTCTCTTCTTTTTGCTTCCCTCTCTTCTGCTTTCATCTCCTTCTTCCTCCCCTCCTTCCCTTCCCCTCTACATTCATCTGTCATCCATGCCCCATCCATCCATCTACCTATCCATCTGTCCATCCATCCTCCACCCATCCATTCCATCTATTCATCCACTCATCTATCCTTCATCCTTCCATCTGTCCATCCATCATCCATCCATCCATTCCATCTATTCATCCACTCATCTAGCCTTCATCCTTCCATCTATCTGTCCATCCATCATCCATCCATCCATTCCATTCTCTGTTCATCTTTCTATCTATCCTCCGCCCATTCATCCACCCATCCACCCACCCATCCATCCGTCTGTCCATCCATCTACCCATCCATCCATAACCATCCTCCATCTTCCTTCCATCCATTCATCTACTTTCTTTTGGCTTCCTACTTTCTACATGTCCCACCCTGGCCACTGCTCATACACCACACGACTGGTTCAGGGATGCCCGTGTGTGCCAGGCTTTCCTGCAGGTACTCCCCACGTTCATGTCTACACTGTAGATGCCAGGACGGCTGAGGAGCTCCAACCCCTTTGCAGCACACACACTGCAGGGTGAGGACGGGCCTTACGCACGTGAGATCCCAGGGCCTGGCGTAGCACTTCTAATTGTTGGATAAAATTGAGGCACCGATAGCTTAATTCACTTGTCCAAGGTCGCAGTAGCAGTCAAGCCTGGGGCTTAAACCTGGGTGTCTTCCTTAAGCCTTCTTGCCCATTTCCTGTCTCTTCTCTGCTTTTCTTTCCTTCTCTCTCATCCATCTCATTTGTAAGTCGTGTCTGCTGCAGCCGCCTCACGCGTTGAGTCAAAACTCCCCCGTCCCCTTCCTGGCAGTTGCAGAACGCATTTCACCCACCCAAACAGAGAGGCCGAGAGGAAGCTAATTGTGCGCTTGGAGTAATCAATTATTCTTCGTGTGTGTAGCCATGGGAGGATAATAAGCAGCCGCCATATGGGCTCCGGGAGGCTGGTGGTGGAGCAGACACAGCACGGCCATGGGAGCTGGGCTGCAATGACTGAAGAAGTTCGTTGTCTTGATTTTGAGAGGTTTGTCTGGAAAGTTTCCGAGATGGGCACTCGCTCCCCAGCTGTATGGAGGCTCTGCTGTGCCTGGGGCGTCAGCTTGCTTGTCTTGTCCAGGTGATGCTGCCCTTGAGACCATACAAACACAACTGGTCTGAGGACACCAGTGATTATGAGTGTCTCACCCTGGTGATTGGCCCACCTGCGGCTCCTGGAGGAGGCTCAGGACAGTCCTGCAGAGGAGGACGGCCGTGTGCCCCTGCTGGTGCCGGAAATCGGGCTTCCACCCTGAGGGCCTAGGCAGGCCAGGGCTTGGTTGCTTGCTGTGGGATAGCTGCGAGGGCTGCAGTTCAGAACACTGTGTCTCCCAGGCTGCACGGGCTGCTGCCTGGAATGTGAGGGGCTGGGAGCTGGGCCCTCCAGGACCCCATCATTGCCCCGTTTCTTCCTGCACAGGCTTCCTGGACTGGGTCCCCAAGAAGATGCAGCGCGTGGGCTGCGTGGAGCTGCTGAACACGGTGCAGAGGCGTGTCCAGCCACGGCTGCATGTCTTTGGCCACATCCATGAAGGTCAGTGGGTAGAGGGGGACCTCCCGTGCTGGGGCTCCTAACTGGCCCTTCAGAGGGGCCATCTGCCTCCCTTCAGCCTGGTCACCGCCTTCCTCCCTGACATCTTCAGCCAGAAGGGAAATGGCCCACTTCTCCTGTGCCCTCTGTAGAGGCCTCGTGCACACGTGGCCGACCCCTGAGATGTTCACTCACGGGAAGATGAATGCAAAATCCCGCAAGACTCAGGGGGTCTTGTCTTTGGAGCCCTGCAATTTTGCCTCACCTCTAGTCTGGGGAATCCTTTAGGAGATGGCCAGGGGCATTTCAGAGAAGGAAACACTTAGACTGTGACATAGAACAGGCATACTCTGATTTCCTTAAAGCTGGTGCCTATATTGTCACTCATATCCCCAGGGCCTGATATACAGTAGGTGCTTAATAAATATGGAAGGCCTGCCTGTCTGCCTCACAGGCTTCAATGGCATGGCATGGATACCACTCCCCGCCCCCTCTTCTCACCGCCACACCCATGCAGACCTGGCGTTCCATGTCAGCACGATAGTGGTGATGGTGGCAGTGTAGATAACGGTAACAATGGTTTCCGTCCCGAGACTGGCGCAGAGTACCGGATGTCCCTCCACACTGAGCAGTGGGCCATGATGGTGAGGGGTAACCTGAGCTCCGGTCCTGACTGCCACATTGCCACACGCTTACCTGTCCCTGCTCACTCACTTTTCTTATTAGACCTCAGGCATCCTCACCGGAGCCTGGTTTCAGCAGTTTGACATGGACACGTCTTTTTGCTCCTGTTGAACACCTGTCCAAGGCCTCCCAGTCCCCTCCTTGCCAGGAAGCACTTTGCTGCTGGAGTGGGGCGTTTCCCATCCTGCTGAACCTCTGTCTGTGGCGCTCCAGGGCTCCTGGGCCTCTACACGTGCCTGGTCCACCGCAGGTCATTTTCCAGCTCAGAAGCAAACAAGCCTAAGGCTGTTCCCTGAGGTCCTGGAGGACATGCTCAGGGGGCAGAGCCATCCGACCCCTCCACTGTGAGAGCTCCTGTGCTTCCGGGCAGCAGACAAGCAACCCCAGGCAAAATCCGAGAGCCTATGGGAAGGCTCCTGGGCTGTGGATAATAATGCTGGCTGCCATTTTCTCTGTCCCTCCGTGTGTGGGCAGGGCCATCAAGGTTGCCTTTGACCGAAATCACATCCTGCACCATTGTATAGGCAAAATGGGGCTCCCGAGGCTGGGGGTCCACATAGCAGAGGGAAATGGCTCTTCCGGTGCGGAGGTGATCTAGCTGAAGGGTGGGGAGAACTCTAACAGGTAGAGACAATGGAAAGAGCGTATTGTGGGAAGGAAGAATGTGACCGTGACAGTGATGGTGATTACGATGAAAAGATGGCGATAGTGGTGATGATGATGACGGTGGTGGTGGTGGTGGTGGTGAAAATGGTGACCATGAGACAATGACAAGAGCAGTGATGGTAATGGTGATGATGGTGCTATGATACTGAGGGTGGTGAAGATGACAGTGGTGGTGGTGACAACTGATCCTGACAGTGTGATGGTGTTGATGATAACGTGGGCGGTGATGAGGATGGTGGTGAGGACGATGATGTCATGGTGACGATGGGGATGGTGATGAGGGTGGTGACTTACTGCACGCTTTCTGTGTGCCAGGCACCCAGCCGAGCACTGTACCTGGGGGACAATGGCGTCTCTTGCTCATGGCAGACCTGGGGCCTCTTATTTCACGGAAGAAGGGACTGGGTTTGAGAGCTGCAGAAGTCTGCCCCAGACATATTCAGCCCATGGTAGCCAAGTGCCTCGTGGCGACCATACACGCAAGATTCCTTCACTGCTGCAGGTCCTGGCCTGACAGTGCGTGCTTACTTTGCAGGGTATGGTGTCATGGCGGACGGGACCACCACCTATGTGAACGCGTCCGTGTGCACTGTGAATTACCAGCCTGTGAACCCACCCATAGTCATCGACCTTCCCACGCCCCGGAACTCCTGACTGCTCCCCGCTGCCCCAGCTCTGCTCGCCTGCACCAGCTCCATATGACTGGCCAAGAGCACCGATCCCCGGCCCTCTCCCTTCTCTGCAGAGCAGCCCAGATGGCCTGTCTGGCCATGGGACAGCCAGTGATGGGTTGAGGCCTTGGGAAGAAGGAACTCGACCTTGACTGTTGGCCTTTTGCCACCTGCACTTGGGAGCCTGTTGGCCCACAGGGGTGCTGCACTACTTCTGTTTTCTGCGTGTACATTGTGTGTACCTCGGTAAAAGACAGTAAGAGACTCACGACCCCGTCCTGCTTGGGAAATGACTAAATCCTGACCCTGCTCAGTTGACACCCCCTGGTTTTGAGAAGCCACTGCTTTTGGATGGGTTTTGGAAGTTCCTGCACAAAATGTCTCTCTGTCTGAGGGTCTGTGTGGCTGTGAGCCCCAGGGCTGGGGTGGATGGGAGATTTTGTGGCCTGGGCACAGACGGCCCTTCCTCTCCTGCCTGGTCGAGAGGAGAGGGGCCTGCTTGTGGCAGAGGCCCTCTGATGGAGCGTTCAGGGACATCTCAGGAATTTGGACCACACCTTGCTGGGCCCACAAGTGACTGGCCTTGCATGGTTTCCCCTTTTCTTCCTGTGCACACTTTCACCTTGAACAGTGGCCTGAGCGTCCAGGCAGCTGCTCAGGGCCTGGATTTGGAGAAGTGGGTTCTACAGAATGTGCCATTTGAGTGCCCAGAACCTGCTGGAAGGTTCTCCATCACAATCCTTGGTCCTGTGCTGCTCTGCAGAATACAACAGCTGGAGGGTCTGCAGGCCCACAGCGTGCGTGTGTGCACACATGCATCCCTTTAAACCTAACCAGGTGCACCCCACGTTTCTCATCACTGTTCCACAATGAGTGGAGCAATGTTTCTTGGTGTGATTTACCCTGCTGTTTGGGATTCTGTCTGACAGACACACAGCAGAGGACAGACACCTAAAGAGTTCAAATCCTCGCTGACCAGTACCTCCGGTTGCCGGGAGGTGGCGCAGTGACCGCTGGCTCTGGACTCTGGCAGCCCCACCTTGGGCAGTGGTCTTCTTTGAATTAGGACTGTGGGGGGGGGAGGGGTGGGGCGCATGTTTAAGGGGGAGGAGCCAGCAGGACCCGGACCAGGGCTTAGCTTAGCAGGGGGGCAGGGTCAGGCACGTGCAGGGCCCGAGTCTGTTCTTGTTTAAAATGCTGAAATTTATTCATCCTTGGTTATTTTTGGTATTCATTTTGATTTTTTACAGCATTACTTGTCCTGATTTCGGTGGCTCTGTTCCCTCTTTACATTGTGCGCCTCAGAGGAGGGCCTTGCTCCCTCACCCTGGCCCCAGCCCTTTTGCAGATACAATTTTGTTTTATCTGCAGACAGTCCTGCAAGGTAGGTACTGTTGTCCCCCATTTTAGAGATGAGGCTATTGAGACCAGAGAGGTGAGGTAATTTGCTTGAGGATGCGTAGCACATGAGAAGCAGCAGCAGGATTTGAACCTCGGTTTCTGGCTTCACAGCCATCACTTTACCATCACTCAGACAACTCAAGGTAGCATGTGCCCAAGGCTCTTATTTAGCTTTGAAGGGTCCTGCTCAAAACTGGCTCTGAGAGCCCCTTGAACCCTGAGGAATCCCGACCTCTGAGCCCAGCATCCCAGTGTCCTGGGGGACAGACTCCTGCCTGGTTGGTGAGCCGGGCTCACAATGGATGAGGCCGCATTCCAGGGAGTCCCGCGGCTCACTGTGCTGGCCAGGCTGGCTGGGCTGCACAGGTCATGGGGCTGCAGGAGTCCCGTGGCTGGGGACATTGACATGTGACAAGAGTGGCACACGGAACACACAGGCCCCTGCGTGTGGCCTCGTCTCCATTTCTATGCGGACCAAGAACTATGAACTTAAAAAAAATGTTTTTCCTAGGTATCTTCAGAATATGGTGTATTTTTATGTGGAAAAGAAGTTACGAAGGCAGCTGTTACTTTAAGAGAAAATTCATTAAAAATCCTTGAGGTATGAAAGATGACGGCGTGCTCCTCAATCATTTTGGCATAACTTGATTGTGGCTGTAATTTTTTTTGTCAAGCATGTCAGACAATAAAGTCTTTGTAAGAAGAAAGCAAGGTCTGCGTAGTGCCTCTTCCTGTGGGTGTCCCTGGGTCTCTGGTGGGCAGGTGGTGGCAGAGGCCTGACTCCTGCTCAGAGTGCACATGTCCACAGCTGCAGCCTTTGCTTGTTTTGCCTTCCCTTGCTGGGAGAGCTCAGAGGTGGTGACACAGCAAGTCTGGGCTGGTCTCCCGGGGAGCCTTGAGAGGCCTTAGCTGTGGACTTTTCCCAGAAGCGATGTGTTCAAGCCAACCCTTGACAAATAAAAGGTCCAGGCATTGTCCAAGAAATGCCCTGGTGGGTATAATGACTCCAGTGTCAAAGGACCCTGGCCATAAAAGTTCTGCCATTTATATTACCCATCTGTCCATCTGTCCAACCATTCGACCACCCATCCACCCAGTCACTCACTCACCCATTGACTTAACTTGAACATACCCATTCATTTGTTTGTCCATCTACCCACCCACCCACCAAGCTATCTGCCTCTCCAGCCACCCCACAAACATCCACTGAGCGCCACCTTCCCCTCAGGGCCTAGCCTGGACCAGAGGAACGCAGGTGCTGATGGTAGGTTTAGGAGCTGAGGTTGGGAGGGCAAGTGGAGGAAGGCAGTGGGTGCTGGCTGCCAGTCACGAATGAACAGCGCTGGAGCGGGAAGAACAGGTTTGAGGAAGGGAAGGAGTTCTGTTTGGGCCTCAGGAGTTGTAGGTGACCAGGTGAGCTAAGGGGCCGATGTCTAGCGGCCCGGTGGGTAGATGGCCGGCAGGAGGAGCATCGTCTGTGGAGATGATATGGGTCCAAGTGCAGTCATGGAGTGGGGCAGTCTCCCAGGAAGGTGTGCAGAGGGTAGGAGGTGCTGCATGGGGCAGACGCGACCTTGCTGTGACTCTCGCCTGGTCTTAGATGGCACTTGTCCCAGAGCCTTACAGGAGCCTGCAGTACTGGGTCTTGGCTCCTTCTGTGGGTCATGAAGAACTGCTCAGTTTGAGGGACTCTCACTGACTGCTGCTTCTGCCAGCATGAGCCCCAGCAGGATTCCTGGTCGGGACAAGGCCCCTCTGAGGCTGTGGCCCATGCAGGCTCGTACCCTGCAGGCTGCTCAAGTGCCCGATTCCCATGGCCGTGCCGACTGCGTGCTTCTTTTTCTCTTTTCCTCTTTCCCCTCCTTCTTTGCCCTCCCTCCCTCCCTCTTTCCTTTTTGCACTGATGAGGACGGAGCCCAGGGCCTCTCGCATGCTAGGTAATCGCTCTACTACTGTGCACATCCCCTCCCCCTACAGATGTTCCATAGAGACAGTAGCAAGAAGTGGGCCACCAAGAGCTCCTCCCCTGGATGAGGGAGGTGGCAGAGGTGGGTGGGTTCAGAATGAGGCTCTGAGCCCCCAGTGTACACTCCATTGTCCAATCAGAGGTCACTTGATGGTTATAATTTTTTTTTGGCAGTACTGGGGTTTGAACTCAGGGCCTTGCATTGCTAGGCAAGTGCTCTACCACTTGAGCCATGCCCCCAGCCCCCATCAGAGGTCACTTGAAAGACATAAATTCAAAGACATAATGAAGATGTCAAGGTGGCTATGTTAAACCCAATTTCCAGGGTCTATTTAGGCCAGAGTTTTGGAGGCTGGAAGTCCAAGATTGGCAGCTCATTTGTTTGGCGTCTGGTGAGGGCCATCTGGCTACATCACAACATGGTGAATGGCCTCCTTGAGGGAACACATGCAAAGATAGACAGAGGTCACACGGTGCAGGACTACAGGCATGTGCCACCACGCCCAGCTCCATCAGTGACTTTTCTTTGGTGCACAGGAGCTTGGCTCCCCACTTTAGCATACTTACATGTTGTTTCCTGGGCACAGATGGCTTCAGAGCTGCCGCTCTTACCCTGTGAGAAACACGCTACCATCTAGAGCAGTGTGTGCACAGTCTTGTCTATACAGTTGGAACTCAGTTTCCCAAAGTTTCTTTGGTTGTCTTTTTCCCTGTCCCCAGTGAGGAGATGTCACACATCAGCAACACAGATTATTTTGGCACAGTCTGTGTTCTATCCTGCTGTTGGGTCTGGAGACCTAAGGCAGATGAGTGAGCATCCCATCCCCCATGGAGAGCACTGTGATTACTGCATCCTGAGAAGGACTTGTAAACCTGCATTCCTGCACCCTGAGGTGCAGATCTGCCACAGGGCTGATGAGCAAAATGCTCTCAAGATTTCCCCTCCCCCAACAAGAGGCAAAACAAACCAGTTCACCCAAGAAAGCCCGCGAATCCACGCCAATGAAAAGAGCCCACCTAACCCTCACCCAAACCCAGAGTTAAAAGTCCATAAAAAACCTAGCCTTCACCTGAGCAGCGAGCTACCACTTTCTGGGCCCTGCTGCACTGCTCTAGCTGTAGCCTTTCCTTTCTCTCTAATAAACCCTACTTCATACACCAGCTTTGGCTCACAAGTCAATCAGCTGCCTCACGAGCCAGTTCTCTAGCCTGTGAAGGCAAGGACCCTCGATACTGGCCAGAAACACTTCACACTGGCATATAACACTGGGGTCTCCTGACCTCATGGTTGATGGCCTTAAATTTGCCAATAGTGAAGCCCTCTGTTTACAGTGTACAGTTCTATGGTTTTGGTATGGCCCCTGTATGAAGGCCAGTCCCATACCCTAAAACTCACTGTTGCACTGTTTTCCAAAGTGGATGTGATTTTGCAGTCTTGCCAGCGATGAGGGCTGTTTCTGCTGGTTCACATCCTCACCAGCTTGGTAATTACCAATTTTCACGGTTTCAGTCATTGGAGTGGGTGTGTGGTGGTCACACTGTGGTCACATTTCCATTTCTGTGATGGCTAGACATGTCAGACATCTTTTCATGTGCTGACTTGCCATCCACACACGTTCTTTCATGAAGTTCTGACTTAGATTTCTCTCCCCTTCTTGAAAAATTGAGTTTTTGTTGTTGTCACTGAGTTATAAAAGTACTTTATATTCTGCGTGCAAGTCTTTTCTCCAGGCCTGTGGGATGTCTTTTTAAAATTCCCTCAGCAATGTCTTTCTCAGAGAAAAAGTTTTAAATTTTAAGCCCAAGTTGTCATCTTGTTCTTTCACCAGTTGTGCTTCTGCTGCCATCATAGTTTGGATCTGCAATGTTCCCCGAATTCCCACATGATGAAGGCTTGGTCCCCTGCCTGTAGTGGGGACATTTAGGGAGGGGGTGGAACATTTAGGAGGTAGGGTCTAGTGGGAGGAAGTTAGGTCTTTGGGGGTGTGCTATCGAAGGGATTTTGGGATCCTAACCCCCATCTCTCTTTTTTTTTTTTTTTTTAATGGGACTGGGGTTTGTGCTTTGCTGCTTGAGCCACATCTCCAGTTCATTTTGCTTTGGTTGTTTTTGCAGATTGGGTCTAGCAAACTATTTGCCTGGACTGGCCTCAAACCTTGATACTCCCAAGTAGCTAGGATTACAGCCATGAGTCACGGGTGCCTTTCCCTCTTCCTCTCTCTGCTTCCCAGTTGCCAGGAGGTGAATAGTCTTCTTCTACCATGTTCTCTTGCCATTATGATATACTGCACTGTCACAGGCCCAAAGCAACAAGACCAAGAGACCACAGACTGAAACTTCTGAAACTGTGAGCCAAAATAAATCTTTTCTCCTTGCATAGTTGTCTCAGGTATTTCTGTCACCATGAGGGAAAACTGACTAACACAGGTATTGCATCTGAAAATTCATTTTCAGATTCAAGGTCATGCAGATTTCCTCTCATGCTCCCTTTAAGAAGTTTTATAGCTTTGTGTTTTACCTGTAGGTCTCGCGTGCTCTCTGAGTTAATGTTTGCATAGCGTGAGGCGTCAAGGTTCGTGATTTTGCACATGGACAGCACTCCTCCATCCAATCTCCTTTGCACGTCTGTCTAAATCAGTTGACTCCATCTGTGAAGGTACATTTCCAGCTCTCTGTTTCGTCCACTCTTCTG